AGTGTCCAATTTCTATTAAAATCTGACTTCACCCAGTTACTAAGTTCTTGATTAAACCTAAATTTTGAACCAGATAATAAACACATGCGAGGAAAAGCTACCTGAACGCAATGCGAATAAACTAATCTTCAAAAAAATAGGGACCTGAGGGTGATTAAACTTGATCCAGGAGAACACCAGTGACTCCAGTCCAGGGTTGTGCCTTCCATACTGGGAACCAATTGGACCCACCAACCCCTAATTACTATTTCCCACTCGAACTCTGTCTATAAAGTTTGTAAATATCTTCTTCTTAGATGTCTGTTGGTGACCGACATGACATCACAGATGACGGTCAACAGTTGTGATGACACACGACCACAGCTTCAGTCAAAGCTCAGACTTTCTGCTGATGATCATCGTTTCTTTTTTTGTCACGGTGACTAATTTCTTCAAACAGCAGAGCGCCGACGTGAAGCTACAGCTGCTATTAAAGGCTTATTCATCCAACAGTCTAGACCATCTGCCTCACACACTGATGATGTCATCAATGCAAGACAGGTGGCCAGGTGGTTCAGTTCAGGTGTTTCTGTGCAGCTCATAGAGGCAGGTTCAGACATGGAGCAGCAACATGCAAAAAAAACTGCCTGGAGATTCAAATGACCTCCCTGTTCCTCCCTCTCTTCACCTCCTCTAACCTCCCTGTTCCTCCCTCTCCTCACCTCCTCTAACCTCCCTTCCTCCATCGTTTGCATCCCTCGTTCTTCTCTTCCCCATCTCCTATCTGTTTCTTCATCTGTCTCTCTCCACTTGAGAACCATGACATCATCCTCCTCCTCCTCCTCTTTAAATCAACCACATGGCAACCACTTGAGAAAGAGATAATTACATCATCCATCCATCTCTTGTCCATCTTTAAACTTTCTTTTCTTTCTCCTTTGCTTGAAATTTCTTTCCTTTCATTCTTCTACAACCTTTATTTATTCTCAGCCTCCTCTTTCTAAAAGTAAGTCCTGAACGCCGCGTCTTTAAGATCCAACCCAGCTGCAGCAACTGGTGGATGTTTGTTATTCCCCCTCAAACGCGTCAAAATGAGCTGGAAATCTCACTTCTGCTTTATGTGCTGAATATTTTGTGATTAAAGCTTCTACGTGTAAAATTCTCATGTGATTATGGCGACACCACGCTGGTGTTCAGGGCGGCGATACGAGGGTTCAAACTTCATTTGAACAAAACGTCTCATTCATTCAGACTTTTTGAAAATATGACCCCAGCGTCTGTGTCATTATAAATCCATATAGAAGAAGGGACCAATGGCATCTTTATGTCTCTGTATTTCCTTTACTCTCCTCATTTCATCTGTCTCTGTGCAGCTGCAGATTCCCCATCTGAAGCGGTTACCATCACCACATAATGACAGAGCGCACACACACACACAACACCACACACACACACACACACACACACACACACACACACACACACACACACACACACACACACACACAGAAAAATCATATGGGATGATTAGTGATGGAACAGATGTTTACTATTATTTAGTTTTTCCTTTCTATTCCTGTCACACTGCTTATATGTTTGCAACAGTCGACAGGAGGGGGATGAACTGAAGTGACCTGAGAAAAGAGACGGAGGGTGACAGAGCGTAAGACTGAAGGGAAATCTTTTAAATCTTGTAGTAATAACTGAGCTTTCTGAGTTGAACATATTTCATTGCCATTGAAACTGTGATATCAGTGCCTGTTCTGTGTGTGTGTGTGTGTGTGTGTGTGTGTGTGTGTGTGTGTGTGTACTGGAGAACAGGAGTGTACTGTAACTAAATATTGAACACCAGCTGATCCACAAGACGATGAAAAGTAAAGGTCTTGGCTGAAAATAACTGGGCTTTTGTTAAGAATAGTTTTCTTTAACCAACAACAGCTAAAGCAGTTTAGTCCTTCTGTCTGTCCTTACTCATTATATGGAGTCCCCACACACACACACACACACACACACACACACACAGACACACACACACACACACAGACACACACACACACACACACACACACACACACAACTGTACAGCAGAGATAATTATAATGTGAAGCCCTGATTGGTGAGTGTACAGAAACCGTTTTAGTACACTGTGCTGTGTGTTCTTATGGGCGTGTGTGTGTGTGTGTGTGTGTGTGTGTGTGTGTGTGTGTGACGTGTCATTACGTGGTGACAGTATGTGAAGCTGTGGCTCAGACTCTTTCTTTGCATTTACTTTGCTCACTTGTTTAACTCCCTCATCTCTCTGCGCCGATCAGTCTTGGATTTATTTCTGTAGATTTGTCCGTCACTTCTATCAGTAATAATAACGCATCAACTTAAGACCTGAGATTCAGTTAGAAACATAAGCAGGAGAAAAAACAAGGTGAGCTTTTATATGATTATCTAAAATGTCTGTGAACATCCAACAGAGTTTACGGACTGCTCCACCTTTTACCTTCCATACTTACAGTAACTGTAGGTATGTCTCTCTGCACTGAGAGATTATTACTGACATTTCAGGTGTGCTCACCTTCAGGTTGACCTTCAAATATAAGTGGATAAACTGTTGGCTTGTTCCCAGATCTCAGAAGTTTACCAGTCTTTGGAACCGGCCTTTCCTCTAAATACTTGATTCAAAACTTGGCACAAACTCACATAACCTCAGCCATATTTCAGGCCTAGTTCCCCGGCTGCCAAGTGCCTAACTTTACAGTATGTTACAGACCATAAAGACACTTGTCTTTGGGAATATTTAACAGTCACACTCTGTTTCCTGAACCTGTGGATGCTGTTGTTTTATTCCATCTTGAAAGCCTAAAACATACTGATAAATCAAAGTTGTGAAGTGAAGTGAAGCTACGAGCGGAGACTTAAGATCGATCAACGGACAAAACTATGAAAATAAGATCCAAGTTGTAATGAACGAAACCTTCCCGTCAAATGTTTTTTTTAATCTGCTTAAAACGTTTCTAGAGATTCAGTTTGTGCTAAAAGATCGTGATGATTGATTGGACCGAGAGAGAAAAGAAAGAGCAGGGAATGTTTTAGAAAAGGAAAGAACGGAGGAAAGAAAAAAAAAGGCACGTAGCAGAAAACATGTTCAGAGATGTTAAAGCCACATCAGACATCTCTGTTTACCATGGGCGGGTCTGTACGGAGACTGTGTGTGTGTGTGTGTGTGTGTGTACTATTTCTGTGTCTGTGCATTTGCATTGGACTTATTGAGAGGGAGGACAACGAGGACATTTGTATAAAGGCCTCAAGGTTTCATTTTGATTTTGGTGTGTGTGTGTGTGTGTGTGTGTGTGTGTTTATGCATGAATGTGTGTTTGTGCACGTGCTTGGGCGTTGTCGTTCTATTTCTACCATATAAGGCCGTCTGCAGTCTCTCCTGGCGAGCTTTCAGTTCCTTTGGTTACGGCAGAGTGAAGCAAAGGTGCAACCATGGCAACCACAGGGTGTGTCACAGTGATAGCAGGGAAGGGTGTGGCCCAGGTGTCTGGGTTGCTATGGCAACCGGCTTAAAAGTCACTACAAGCAGAGAAGCTGCTCAAACACTTTAACAGTCTGAATTATTTACTCTGTCTTTACCACTAAGTCAAGACAGGATGAGTCCTAAAGTTCGTCTGTTTGTCTGTCTACTGGTCGGCACTGACATGTGCATGTGTTGAACTGCTGGGGTAGTGATTCAAAGTCTATCTGTTATCAAGACAACAGCCCTGAGGTAAGGTAAGCCCTAAGTCAAGGCCGACAAATACCAGGTCCAAAGCATCAAGCCCAAAGTGAAGACCAGCGAGACCCGAATCAAGGTCCAAAGGTCCAAAGTTGAGGCTAAGCTTTAAAGGTTGTTTCCCAAGTTATGAACGAGACGTTATTTGTCTGCTGGTCTGCCCTCCAGGAGAACACATCTCAGCTTCACACCTTTAACACAATAAAACAAATAAACAAACACACAGTGCTCATACTGTTTGTCATATGTTAATAAGTGGAGTAATGTTGCTGAGGAGCCTTTACAGCCAGGAAATGCCTATTCACTACTTCATCATCACAGATTGTTGACTGAACTGTGAAGTTTCCTTCTCGTAGTTTCAGAAAAGTTAAAGTTCTCCAGTATTTTACAGGAAAAAACAAAGATATGAGAAAAACCAGAGAAGTAAGATTCTGTCTTCTTCTTTCCTATCTTGTTGACCATATTGAAAACACACACAGATTTATCTTCTCATCCCTTGACAACCAAGTTGGAAAACACTTCATGATGGTTCAACAGCGCTGTTCGTCTCAGGAGAGCCCTGTCACTGTATCTAAAAACATCCTGTGACTCATGTTTGTAAAAGAGCAAAATGGCTGCCACACTTAACACTAACCCACTTGACTAATCCACCAGTGGAGCTGAAATGTTTCAGACTCTGTATCCAGGGAGACAAAATATGTTGAATTTTTATAACTAAATGGATGAAAAAGATAAGCAGTAAAGTAAAAGTCAAAAAAAGAAGTAAAATGACCCTTTTTTAATGATATCAGGGGGGTAAGCTCAGGTTCTGATCTCTAATGTGCTTCAGGTGAAACATTTCAAACCCCAGCAGAGTGAAAATAAAGGCAAGAACATGAAACATGTGCTGTTGCAGTTACGTAGTTTCAGAGGGATTATTTCTTCCCTCAGGCCGTCAGGTGACTGACAGGAGGCAGAGCATAACGTAACGCAGCAGGGATCTAAAAGCACTTATCTCAGCACAATGACGGCAGGATCAAACAGACTCCTTATGTTTACTGTGGAGGATTATCTCACTCTGTGGAAGACGGTTTTCATATTCAGCAGGTGGCTTCTTCCTCTGAAGTAAACAAGCTCCGATATCTATCGCGCCATTCCTTTAGCTGCTTTTAGCTTCTGACTGTCTGACAATGTTGTGGCGTTCGTTTCGGTGCTGCTGAAAACCTGATGGATGAGAGATGACGGTGGTGGTGGAGGTGACTGACATCCGCCTTACCTTTCTTCACCTTCTTCTGCAGTTTGATGGTGTCTGATGATTTCTTCTTGATGTCTGCTCTGGCTTTTTTATACTCTGAAAAACAAAAACATGCAGAGTGAGGGAAAGTTTTTGCGTGTGTGTTTGTGTGTGTGTGTGTGTGTGTGTGTTAGCGTGTTGGCATACCTTTGGCATGATCTTTGTCCAGCTGACTGGCCACTTTTTTCCACTCCTCCATCTTGGACTCCAGCGGAGTGATGAGACTTTCTGAGAGAGCGCTGAGAGAAAAAAAAGACAAAGAGTCTCGATCGTTGTGTTTTTCTAAAGTTGATGCTATAAAATAAAGTTTAATTTGAACCAGTAAATCTCTGGCAGGTTGAGTCAGAATAACACATTTGATTTCATTATTCATTCATGCACTGCTACAACTGATGATTATTCACAATATCAGTTATTTTCTGATCATTTTCATCACTTAACCGATAAATTTAGTTCATAAAATGTCCAAAAATAGTGAGAAGGTCCTTTCCCAGAATTCCCCAGAGCCCCGGCTGACATCTTTACATAAAAAAATAATATAAAATACTTAATTTACAGGGACATCCTCAGATCTGAGAGGCTGAAATCTGAGAATGTTTTGTCACTTCTGCTTGTTTAATGACTTCAGCAATTAATTGATTACCCAGATTGATGGCAATTAATGTATTGTATCGACAAATCTAATTGTTTCTATTGATGTCATGATATTATAGTATATCAGTATATTGAAGCGTTTCTATACGTTTGTCCTTCCCATTCACAGACATGAGGGAGACACAAACGTAGACTTTCATCTGACTGACAGCTTCTCTAATGACGGTCGACAGTAATGGCAGAGAAACAGTTGTGATGCTGCAGCAGTGACAGTGATGACAGACACACACACACACACACACACACACACACACACACACACACACACACACACACACACACACACACACACACACAACTGTCATGTATTTGCATATGTCAGTTGAGAGTAATTATTATGTCTAGTTCCCACACTGTCAGATCAGGTGTCATCATTCACACCTTCACCTGTCCTTCCTCTCTAGTAAATAACACACACAATGCTCCTGTGTGCGTGTGCGTGTGTGTGTGTGTGTGTGTGTGTGTGTGTGTGTGTGTGTGCGCCTTACGTGGTGAACAGCTTGAGTTTGGACTCGATGCTCCGGTGTCTCATACACATCCTGGTTAGTGCCGAGCCGATCTCCTTCGTGGCACCTGGGAAAAAAAACCCAAAAAACATTCAGATGATGAGTATTATTTTGAAAAGAACCTGGAATTAGTGAAAACAAATAAGGTTTCAAAATAAAGCTCTGTTTGAAACTACAAAATAAAATGCATAATGCTGGCAAATGACATAACAGCTTGTACAGAATTGATCTGTATGATTCAAATTCATGTCCAAAATAAAAGAATATCACCTAAACTTGAATCAGCTGTATAACGTGGACTCTGCTGCTTTCACTTCAGCTGTGCATCATAAAAAAATAGTTTCACTGTGTTGAAACAGACTAAACCTGAAGCAACATGAAGTGAATATTCTTCCTTGTTGTTGCTGTAACAGGAGCTGAACAGAAGCTCTGAATTACAAACTACATTTAATCAGTCAAACCACAAGCTGATGGAGGGGAAACTGCAGCAGACCAGTATGTGTGTGTGTGTGTGTGCGTGCTATCATTGCTTCATAAAGTGGTATTAAGGAAAATCAATCTGATTAGGATCTTATGACGAGTGTTGTAATGCGTGTTGAAAACAATAGGTGTATGTCTCATTTTGTTCATGAATTATGCAAGAAAGAAAACAATCCCCTTTCACAATCAGCCCTGGTTAACTGGATGTAACAGTATTAGGTATATCTCTCACACACACACACACGCACACACACGCACACACACGCACACACACGCACACACACGCACAGCTGATGACATAAGATGCACTTCATGGGACAATGATAACTCATGTGTATACAGTACACAGCCATCCACATGTTGTAATGCACATTTGGAGCTGGTGCATCAAAACAAGACACTGACTGAGGTGGAAAATTTGATAATGTGATTATTAAAACAAATGATTATGGCTGCAGGGCCTGTTTCCATATTTTGTTCTTGTTTTATTTCCAGCAGTGCACTCACAGTATATCAGTGCTGCAATAAAAGCTCCAGATTAATAACTGGATGTGATATAAATGTCATACGAGGTCAGTGGGTGAGTGGGTTTCCTTAAATCAGAATTACCTCAGTAGCAATATGCAGAATACAAAAAATAACTATATTATAATACTTCTTTTCCCTGTCCTGTTGGTTCACCTCTGATGTGTTTATCCAGTTTAGCAACAGACTGACCAGTTACAGATACTGGTCTGCTGAGGGATGGATTGCACTGGTTGCTGCAGCTTTTTAAACTTTGACGTGACTTATTGAAAACGGTGATATGTCTAAATTTGAGTCTGTGAGAGATTCACAGACTCAGTGATTCAATAACTTTGCTTTATGGCCCAGTCAGAGTTGGAAGCAGCAATAAAGCAGTTTACAGGAAAACAGGAACCTTTTCAAGCCCAGTTATGGACATGTTGTTACAACGTCTGGCGAAGACTCGTACAACAAGAACAGGATTCACATTAAGCTGCTGGAACATTTATTCAGATTAGTGCAACATTTGGAAGGAAACGTAAATGTTGACACAGACACCGAGTGAAGGAAAAGAGCTGCATCACTTCCACAGTGGGTCCTCTGTCAGCGTTACACACCCACACACACACATACACACACACACACACACACACACACACACACACACACACACACACAACACACCCATAATGGTTTCTTTGTTGCTCCCAGTCTGTATGTGGACATGACACTTCCTGTTATCTGTCCTCTTTATCACACTCTCAGTACAGACATGCATCATGTGCTGCTGTTGGCATGTTTTACAGGATCTTAAATTATTCCACAATAAATGTTTCCTGGTAAATTTAATCATCACATTCTGAATGTAATTTTTCAATTTTATGTAAATTGTGTGTTGGACAGACAAAGATAATTCAGTTTCCTCGCTCTTGGCAAAAGATCTCCCCTGGATGTCCAGTATGACCCTACAGACGAAACCAGGGCTGAAACTAAACTTATTAATTTCATTATTAACTCATTGTTTGTCAATTAGTCAATTGGTACATTAAGTGTTAAGAAATTATATCATTTCTGTCTAACAAAAAGTTGAAAATGTGTATTAAATATATATTAAATATGTATCTATTTTAAAAGACTGAAAGAACTAGAAGATTTTACACATTTGAGAAACTCGAACTGAAAGAATTTTGAAATTTTTTCTTCTTTCTTCTAAAAAACGACTCAATAGATAATCAGAATAGTTGCTATAATTTTCTTTCCAATTGACAAATCGATAAATCAGCTAATCGTCGCAGCTCTACACGAACCACTTGATGGGAATCAACTGACACTGTGATATGAGAACGGATTAGAGCTGTTTTATCGTTCCAGACATTTTTTAAAGCAAAAAAGAAAAATATTTTGTGGTTCCAGCAACTCAAACATGAGGATCTGTTGAATTTCTCTGAATATGTATGTGTGTATTTATATATTTATATATATTTATATATATATAGGAGACAGAGACAGAAGCGAGGTCAGCACAGACTGAGACACTGTGCTTTTTTTGATATTTTAAAAAACTAAACGACTAAAATTATTGGCAGATTAATCAATGTCACTCAAATAATCCATACAGAGACATTTGATGTTATCCACTCTGTGAGGGAACACAGTGACACAGCAGATTTACACTGAGGAGTTCGAACTGTGTGAGTTCACACTGACTCACTTCACCTCATTTGAATATCTAAATCTGAGAGCTGCACAGGCGGGACACACACACACACACACACACACACACACACACACACACACACACACACACACACACACACACCACACACACACACACACACACACACACACACACACACACACACACACACACACACTGCAATGCTGAGTCATGGCTGAGTTACGTAAAATAAAGAACAATCAGTGAAAGATCAGGTGTGTGTTCATCCAGCAGATCCAGTACGAACAGAAAGTGAAGTCAGGGTGAAACCTCGACTGGCACCGACACCCGTTTGAAGCAACCCCCCCTTCCATCCCTCCATCCCTCCCTCCATCCCTTCCTCCATCCCTTCCTCCCTCCTCCTGTGTGTTCTCTCCTTTTCTTTTCTTTGGTTCCTACAATAACTCATCCATCCATCCGCCTCTGTGCACCCTCTCTCTCTCCCTCTCTCATTCCTCTGCTTCTTATCCATCTTTCCCTCATTGTCCTCCAACTGTCCTCCTTCCTCTCCCTCACGCTCCATCCTTCCCCCCTCTCCTCCTCTCCTCCTCCTCCATTCTGTCGTGACTCCTCAGAAACAAAACATTAACTATCAGTTACACCCACGTGAGCATGCGCAGAAATGTGAGATGGACACACACGCACACACACACACACACACACACACATACCCCGTCAGGTATGAGGTGTGGGTTAATCGTTAAGGTGTGGCGAGGTGTGTTTGCTTTATTTGCCTTTGCCTCTCTCTGAGCTCAGAGAACATTTAAGTCTTGCACATTGTGGAGACACAGACATTATCTTAATGCAGCTAAAGTACACGTTTCAAAAGTCTGCAATGTTTTGAAAGTGTATGTGTGTTAAACAGCTAACAGTAAAATCTGTCTGTTGTCACACTGTAAGGCTGAAACGTCAAGTCATGATATGATCTAATATATATATTTATTTTTACAACAATGGATCGATCAAATCAACTATATGCAATGTGAAGGGCGTCAGTGACAAACTTGTAGTGACAAAATCCCTCAGCTCCACTAAGTTTTGGTTTTACATCACATTTACTGTCTGGCTGTTTTCAGCCAACAAGGTCTGATAAACCGACTGTTCACAACCTGTGAAGCACAACAGACGAGCAGAGTCACGAGTCCTTCAGGAGGCGGTGGAGACCAAAGAAGAGCTACAGAAAGAGCAAATGTTGGGAGTTAAATTAATCTCATAGATGTGGATGTGTAATTAAACAAATGTTTATCGTAAACTGTCATGTACTGCAAGCGCCGGTCACATTCAGTAAACAAACAGGAGACATAGTAAAGTCTTCCTTAGAGTAAAGAAGTCCTGGCATCGTATCAGTATAGAAACATTTAAAATGACAGAGTCGTGATCCTGGTTTATTACAACTAATCATTTCTATCATCTCTGAGACCTGGGAACGTCGTGACATCACCGTGATGAAGACAGACAGGTCAAGACACACAAGCCGTCACATGATCAGACAGGTTGGAAACAATACAACACTTCATCTAGATTAACTATACCACTTTATTTGGGAGGTCAAACTGATCGTGGGCGCACCAGAAACGTGGGAAATAAAGTTTTCGAGATGTTGCAAGCAGAGGGTGACGGATGTTTTCAACAGACAGTGTGGGTAATAATTCTACTGTTCCCTTTCATTCGGGCTTGTTTTCTAATAACTATCAGAGATGCAACACTAAAACTATCACTCTCATTACCACTAAAACTACAACTTCAGTAAACAAACTACAATAATCAAATCCAGAATCAAAACAGAAGTATCCTCAATTTTCCAAGGCAGTAACAGTATCTGATGGTGCACGTATTTAATCTAAACGTAGTCTGTTCTCACTGGATCATCTCGAGTTCTTCATTACTGCTTCAATGTGAAACTTCAGCAGGACTGAAGTAATGTTTAAATCAGTTTCATCGACTTCAGCATCATAAAATGAAAGATGTTTTATAGTTTTTATGGTCACAGGACGCTGCCCGGCCCTGTCTTATGGTACAGATATTCATTTAGCAACATGAGAATTACTGCATGTGTGAATTGCGTGTGCTGCAGCCAGGTGTTGAGCACTGTAGGCGCCTGTTGCGTTTGTGTTCGGACACGTTTAATGGTTCTCAGAGTCGACTGGAGATGACTTCAGAGAAAAATGTAACCTGACAAGATCAGACAGACTCAGTGTGGGAGTGAGTTTGTTTCCGATTCTCACATGTTGTTTTGTTCTGGGTTTAATGTACTGCTGACTCACGCCTCAGAAAAAAGCTTGATAAATGATCTGTTTGGAGTTTATCAGAACACAACCAAAGAGAAGTGTGACATTTGATCAAGAAAGCTTTTTTGTGCGTAGACT